GCTATAAAAAAAATTTATTCAACAATATCAAATCTTAAAAAAAAATTTATCATCCAAGCCTTATCCAAAATTAAAGACTTTGGGATTTTATTCCTAAAATTCAGATACTATAATTAATATTGTTTGTTGTTTTTGTCAGGGTCGATGGACGAAGGGGTGTCAGAGAGTTTGCCTTCGCTGCAGAGCACTTCCAACACCGGAGGACATGCAGAAGATGATGAAAGGTAAACAGCTTGTCCAAACCATTTGTTAGAACTTGCAGTGAACACGTCATAAGCAATAAAAAAACATATAAAAGTGATACATGTCTGGACTACACTTGTTTAGATAAAAAAAATGTAATGTTGGGATGATGCACCATAGTAAAAAAAATGTAAACGTAAAATAAAAGTTGTTTTGTCAAAGCCTGAAGACCTGTGATAAATTTAATGTGAGGCTCAACATTTCCTTTAATGGGCACTCTGCAAACAATAAACTATAAACAACTGATGCATGTTGTCGTCCTTACCTGCCACTTGGTATGTGTTTTACAATCAGGCAAGGCTTAACATCACTAAAGAAGAGTCTCTGAAACCTTTCTAACAAAAGAAAGGTTGTTTCAAGCATCTATTTGAAGACAGATTGGTGTGTCCAAATGAAACTGACCATAATTTACATGATTTAATTGTTTGTGTTTCAGACTGGAAGGTATTCAGTACCCGTACCACCTCTATATTAGCCCATCAGCTCGGCCTGGCACCAATGGCCCCGATCGGCCCTTTCAGTGTCCAACCTGTGGAGTCAGATTCACACGTATTCAAAACCTGAAACAGCACATGCTCATACACTCTGGTGAGTACAGACACCGAAAACTATAAACCAAGATATTCTTATTGTTATTTATAGTAGTGTTGCCACAACAAATCAGGAAGTATTGACATATTACAATCTAATGTTTTACAGCATTATTTAGTTCATTTAATTAATTTAAAATACTTTAAATACTATGTCACAACTTGTAGAGATGAGGTCAGTCCAATCCAGTATCAGTAATGGGTTCCGATACCAACGTCATAAAGAGATGAGAATTTTCTGATCTAATGTGGGAAGATTTCAGAGCCATGAACTGTCTCTGTACTTTAATTCTGTGTGCTGAAATCATTCTGCACATGCTTTCCCTCCCTCTACTCTGTGAAACTCAGCCACTGACTCTTCCTGAGGTTTGAATGTGTTGTGCTGGCAGTGGCTGATGTAACCTCTGCTTTTAAAGAGAAACCAAAAGGCTGCAGTGGCTGCTTCTTTCCAAAGCCACATGTTCTATTTTATTTTAAAGCTTCAAAGTTCTCACCACAACCTACATTGATTTACACACCACTCGGGTGTGTGTGTACGTGTTTTTACTACAGACTGAGGACCATTTGTGCCATAGTTACTATCAAAGTGAGGTCTTTAATGTAAAGTGAGGACCTCTTCAATGTCTTTACTTTGCAGCTCTGCTGTGCTTTACTAGTTAGGTTTAGAGGTATGGTGTGAGTTAAGTTCTGGTTCAGGTTAGTGTTAACTATAGACAAGTAATGGTTAATTTTACTAGTTAGGTTTAGAGGTATGGTGTGAGTTAAGTTCTGGTTCAGGTTAGTGTTAACTATAGACAAGTAATGGTTAATTTTACTAGTTAGGTTTACAGGTATGATTTGAATTAAGTTCTGGTTCAGATTAGTGTTAACTATAGACAAGTAATGGTTAATTTTACTAGTTAGGTTTACAGGTATGATTTAAATTAAGTTCTGGTTCAGATTAGGGTTAACT